ATAAGACCGAAACTTTATATCACTAGAGTCCCAGAAGGGGGGCAGAAAGGGTGGTGGTGAACAAATATTTGAACAAATAACGGCTGAAAACTCCCCAAATTTGGTGAAAGTTGTAAACCTACAGATTTAAGAAATTTAACAATCTCCAAATACACTAAGTCCAGAGAAATCCATGCCTCAGCACACCGTAATTAAACCTGTGAAAACTAAAGATAAAAAATAAAGAGTCTTGAAAGCAGCCAGAGAATAATGACATTGATCATAGGGGAACACATTTCTCATCTAAAACCATGCAGGTCAGAGGAGGTAGCACAACATTTGTTAAGTGTTAAAAGAAGAACTGTCAACAGTGAATTCTGTCTTACAAAACTATGCTTCAGGAATAAAAGGGAAATAAAGACATTCTCAAATAAAGGAAAACATAATGGATTTATTAATAGCAGACGTACCTAAAGGAAGTAGGTAAATAAATCAATTCAAAATGAATGACAATATTAAAAGAGGTCTGATAACTTCATCAGACCTCATAATTGACACACAAACTATTTAATAATTCATGCAGGGGAAATTAACATGAAAGTTGAAGATCGGGAAAGATGAAGTAACAACGTAAAGGGCAGAAATATGATAAATACAATAGAATAACTTTTCTCTGAGTTTTATGAATCATATTTGATAATTAGAACAAAAATTATAACACCATCTGAGAGACTATGATATTTAAAAGTGAGAATGGTAAAGTGATCCAAATGGAAGTAAGAAGTCCATACTTCATCTGAAGTGATGTTAATAAAATATCAATGCCAGTAGACTGCAATAAGTCACATGTGTATATTGTCATTACCCAGAACAAGCACTAAGAAAACTACAAAAAAAGATACATTCAAAACCACTATAAATAAATCAAGATGGAACCCTAAAAAGTGTTCAAGTAACACACAGAAAGGCTAGAAATAAGGAGCAGAAGCATAAGAAACAGAGGAAACAAAGAGAAAACAAATGATTAAATGGAAGATTTGAGCCCTAAGATATTAAGGACTACCTTAAATGTAAATGGTCTAAATATACCAATTATAAGGCAGATATTGGCACAGTAGATAAAAAATAAAACAAAACAAAATGACTCCACTATATGCTGTATACGAGAAATTTATTTTAATTTCAATGAGATAGGTTGTCAGTAAAAGGAATTTTTAAAATATTATGTAAGGGTTAATTACTTTTTTAAAAAGAAGGCTACATTAATATCATATAAAGTAGACTTTGAGCAAAGAAACTTACCAGAGACAAAGAAAACATTACATAACATAAGGATCAATCCTCCAGGAAGACACAGCAAGCCCAAAAGTGTGCATACCAAACAACAGAGCCTCAAAATATATAAAGCAAAAACCTATACAGCTGAAAGGAGAAATAGACTAATCTGTAATTATGATTAGTGACTTTAACATTCCTCTCTCAGCAAACGATAGAGCCATTAGATAGAAAATCAGCAAAGTGCAGTCCATGCATATGAGTACACATGACATACGTATTTCTATACAGTCTGCTAAGAAAGAATAACCAGGGCTCAACTGCTGTTCTTGTGATAGATTTCCCAGGAAAGCAGGAATTCACATGAGAATTTCAAAAGCTTGAAGCTGGAATGTGCTGATTGGCTAGTACTGAATATGTTTCTTAATTTCGATGATTAATTCAGGATATAAAAATCCACATAAAATACCTGAGTTCTCTTCTGAGAAAACTTAGGCATTTCTGATTACCAGGATTTGTGCAAACCATGCAAAATCTGTCAGAGTCTAAAAACAGCATTCCTAATGCAGACAGTTTCTCTTTAATAACTTCATCAGACCTCACATAATTGACACACAAACTAATTTATGCAAGGGAAATTCACCTGAGAATTCTAAAACTTGGGTACAAAAATGTGCAATTCAAGAAACAGTGAAAACGCACTGGAAGGTTTGTTAAGAGACCTGTTCTGGTCACTGCTCTCTCGTTAATAGCTGTGTGACTCTGGGCGAGTCCCTTAACCTCTCTGAGCCTTAGTTTTTCAATCTGAAAGATGAAGAGGTTGAACTAACTGACCTCAAAGGGTTCTTTCCTGCTCTGAATTTTAAAAACAACAGGACTCAATTTCATGCTCATAAACAGGAAGAGTTCTTTGGCCTCCCAACTGAAAATGCACCTTCAAAACTACCAACAAACAGCTCTGCTCCTCTGAGTGAGTCTGAGAAGATCACCACAGAACACTATTCTACTGAGAAAGCAAGCTGGAGATCAAAGAGGAAGGCAGGTCTGAATCAGCTTTCCCCATGCAACAGGCACAGTGGTGGGCCAGGAAAGTTGTCATAAACTGGAAAAAAAAAAAAAAAAAAGCCAACGACAGCAACAATAAAATGGTTCCAGTGCCTTTCAGAGTGGGCTTGGTTTGGTGGCTGGAAGCCCACACAGGCCCTTACCAGACTTCAGACGGGGCCTTTACAGAAAGTTCTAGTTTTTGAAAAGCACGCAGTCACAGTGGCCTCTGAGAAAAACAAGTGCTCTTGGCTGTGGTAAAAATAACGCAATGGTTGAAACCCTTCCCTTTACCTCAGTTCTCAGCCACATGTACAGCAAATGGCAGGTGGACAAGGGCTTCTAGGGGTGCCAAGTTCACTGGCAGGACGAGCCTAGTCTCCCCCACACCGTGGCTTCAACTGGGCATCAAACGCACATTTAATTATTTCCAGAACTATTCACCTTTTATTGGGGAGAGGTCCTTCAGGGGTCCTTTATCATCAGGCAGTGACAGTGACAATCGGTTCAGAGGCAACAGGGGTTATGGGGAAATACGAACAGCACTAATAAGCGTGGTAACAATCAGAAAATCCGAGGGTAAGGAAACCCTAAATAAATATTAAAAATACCAGAAATGACGGATGCAAACTACAAGTCTTTCGTAGCATGCAGAATTTACCTGTTATTGCGGATGTTGCTGAGGGTACAGAGATGTATCAGATACGCCTGGAGGAGCCCGTGGTCTGATTGGCTGTGTCACTTGGGGTTCCAGCAGGAAAACGCGGTCCTCAGCTGGGAGTTGAACGATGGGACCGTCCACCCAAGGACGGGCAAAGGCAGGGGCGCGTGTAAGAACTGCGGGACTGCAGATCAGCTTCAAAGAGAATGAGCCATCGCAAAGGGCCCTGTGCAGGCTTAAAAGCTTCACTCTATTGGGATTTCACGCTTAGTCGTTTGTTTAGCAACGGCAACTAGAGCACCTCTCTTTTGAGGCAAAATGAAACCATGCGCCCTCAGACTTGTGCACCATAACCTCAACGACTTCATGGCCTGGTATCCTTAATTCCTTCCCACCACTGTGCTTCCTGCAGCCCTCACTGTGGAGTGTCCACACCCCCCACTGCGGCTGGCCCCACGGTATGTGTGGCCATGTGTGTGGATCGGTGGGACTGGGGCATCCAGCCAGCCTCTTGGAGGCCTCAGTTTCTCCTTTAGCTCAGTGGATGTCCTGGCTGTGGGGAGTGACATAGAAAGGACTGCAGCCCCATTTCACACCTGAGGGAATTAACGCCCCAGTGAGGCGGAGGGCGGACCAGCCCCAGGTCAGGCAGGGTGTCCAGGCTCAGACAAGAGCCCAGGTTTGCAGACTCCCTGCTCTTCGTGTCTCACCCTCTATGGCTGGCCTAGGAATGGGTTATATCTGTACCAGGAAAAACTGTTATTTATGCCGGTGGCCGTGACTCCTTTACTCAGTGGGATCACTTTAATCCTTATCTTCTGCATGGTGTCTGGAGTTCCACATGCTATACTCAATGCGTTCATCGTTAGCTCAATCTTCTGTATATTTAGAATGACAGAATAATGCGCAGGATAATTTAGGCTCCATTAGTATTTTATGCATACCCCTATTACAGCACTTACCGCATCGTGCTGTAATTTTTTGTTTACATACCTGTCTCCGCCACTTGGCTGTGAGCTCCTCCAGGACTTAGGCTGTCTTACTCATCTTAGTGTTCTACCTCCTCCAGAACCTAGCTGCTGAACACGTCGAACATAGTAGGTTTTTAATCAATGAGCCAGCTTTATAGTAAGCTTCAGTAGCCAGTCATATCTGGTTTTCACATATGCACTTATTCAACAGATATTCTTCTTATTATCCATTTTTTAATTGCCAAATAAAAATTGTACGCGTTTATGGTGCACAAGTTTATGGTGTACAACGTGGTGTTTTGAAATCTGCGTACATTGTGGAATGGCTAACTTAAGCTGATTATCATATGCCTTACCTCACATACTTACCATTTCTTTCTTCAATGACAACGAATCTATGCAATACATTGAAATTAATTATAGTTACCATGTTGTACAATAAATCTCTTAAACTTATTCTTCGGGTCTAAGTGAAATTTTGTATCCTTTGCTCAACTTTCCCCAACTCCCACTGCTCACCCTCCAGCGCTTGGTAACCACCATTCTACTCTCTGTTTCCACAAGTTCAGCTTTCCCAGATTTCACATATTGGTGAGATCATGCAATATTTGTCTCTGTGCCTGGCTTATCTCACTTGACATATTGTCCTCCAGTTCATCCATGTTGTTGCAAATGACAGAATTTCCTTCTTTTTTAAGACTGAATAGTATTCCGGTGTGTATGTGTATATCACATTTTCTTTATCCATTCATCCATCGATGAACACTTAGGGTGTTTCCACATCTTGGCTATTGTGAATAATTCTGTGATGAACGTGGGAGAACAGATATCTCTTCAACATATTGACTTCCTTTCCTTTGGATATACATCCAGTAGTGGGATTGCTGCATCATATGGTAATTCTATTTTTAATTTTTTGAGGAACCTTCATGCTGTTTTCTATAATGGCTGTGCTAATTTAATTCCCACCAATAGTATACTAGGGTCTGCTGTTGGACTTCAGCTGTGAAGCACGGGACGCCAGAGGGAAACCACTCAAGACATTCATGGTACCCTGGTCAGTGCTAGCCATGACGAAGACTTTTACATGTATATACCACTTCCTTGTGTTGAACTGGTATATTTTCCTCAATTTTTACATCTCACAATGCAGAAAGAACAAGGAGAGTTCCAAAATCTTTGCAAAGGGGGGGACTGTGGAAGTATTTGACTCTCCTTAATCTGGTAAGTCCATATGGCCATACCACGTGCCAGTCTATTTCTCTATAATATCATATTATATAATATCATATCACACAATATCATATCATATAATATCACACATATCATCTTTGGATTTTGTTAAATACAAAATTCCATTATTTGTCTCCCTTCTTCATTGTTTGTGAGTTTGGGCTTTTTCTTAACAATTTGCTCTGAGAAACCCAATTTGAAAGTTATCTGTACTTACATTTTTGTGCTGGCTCATTGTTAAATGATCTTTTGAAAAGAACCTCATCTTGGAACAGTTCTCAGATGAGCCCAAATGAGAAACTGAGCTAATGGTTTCCCATGGGATGGACTACAAATGCAGGAGGGATTTTGAACTTTGCTTGGGGAAGTCTGTGAAGAGAAGGCAGAGTGGCGTATGTTGTGTAGGAAGTGTAATTTCCAATGAAGGAATAATGCCATTTTATAGCACACACAGACTAACAGATTTATCTAAGAAAAGCAAACACATTTTGCCATGTTCAGCCCCCACTTCAATTTTTTATAGGCTCTGTCTCCATCTTAAAGGACAAATCACCCAACTGAATGGCAAATACACATTTTCAGCTGTTTAAAAGCCAATCTTATGACTTAATCCCTTTTGTCTTTCTAACCTGGCTGACCACATTCTGCAGTATAAATGAATGGGAAAAGAACAGATCAAAAATAAACCATTTGGGGAATATGTAAAAAATATTTTCGAAGTTAAAAGCTAAAAATGGAGAATCATTTGGGGATGTGAATTAATGTTTGAGGCTTTTGACTAAAATATAGGCTGCCATATAAACAACTGATTTCAGAAATGACAAAGTAGTCCAATCTTTTGGAACCGTAATCCTCATTTGGCAAGCAGAGAATATGCATGGTCAGAAACAGTGAAGCTCTGCAATACTTAGGGG